CTCACGCCAAAGATAACAATTCACAACAAAGGCGCATTCGCCGTTAATTCCAATATGGCCCCGGGCCAATCAACTCAACATCGATCCTCATACCCGCACAGACGATTTCGGCCGTCGCGTGCTAACTCCCACCGCTGCGATCGTCACCCCGCTGTTGTAAACTCGACACGGTTCACCCAGATCCCACAGTCCGTCGTGGCGATCCAGCGCGCAACCGGCCAGTCTATCGTCAGCCCGACAGAACTTTCCGATTCGCTTCAAACACTCTTCCTAGCCATTGCTTCCCGGAAGCTGGCTTGAGAGTCGAGAATGTAAGAGAGATTTGCGGACGCGCTTGCGGGTTTTATAGTTGCGACAGGGGAGATAGAAGGGGGAGAAGGCGACCGGAAAGCTGAGGTGTAAGAGGAGAAGCAGGAGGAGAAGACTTTGAGAAGAGTGCTCTACGGACGCCATGCTGATCCCTCAGAACTCAAGGTTCAACCAATCAGATTCGTCGCGCGATAGGAAGGTCCTATCGATCCACGCACCTGATTAGCGAGCGGGAGTTATCGGGGGATCGACCGGGCGTCGTACGCCAGACTCAGAGGGTGAGAAGAGAAAAGGCGTGAGAGGTGACGCAAAACGGGTCCAAGATTCAGACGATCAAGAAAGGGAAATGGGCGCGCAACCAGCAAGACGGGGGAGGGGGAGGAGAGAGAAAGAAACAGTTACAGGGAGAGAGGAAGAGGAGGGAGAAGGAAAGGATGCGCGGGAGGGAGCAATAAAGGGGACAGAGGGGAAAAAACTTCTGCGTATGCGGCGGCGTCAACAAAAAAAATGAAAAAAAGGCACCGGAACAGTTACAGCTTGCTTCTATCCTAATTCAAAAATTGAAATCACCATATCCGCGCGCGAAAGAGCAACGCGGGAAAAAAAAATCCTATGCTTATTCGTATCCGAACGAAATTCCGAAAGTTTTCTCCGACGCGACCGGGAACATTCACACACTCGGAAAGGACACGTCGAAGTTCCGCTTATCCCGGAATTCCCAACCGTCGAGCCCAATTCCCTGTGCGCTCGCTAAAGCGCATGCAAATTCCCATGTATTTCCCGACTTTGCAAAAAGAAAAACAGAACTCAGCAGTCGAAAAAAAAACAGCTCTAAAAAAAAAGGGAAAATGCGGCACCCGAAAGCAAGAAATCAAAACGGGGTTTTCCTGGGGTTGGTATGCTAAAAGCAAAAGAAAGGATACGAAAGGTGGCACGGGGTCGTGAAGTGGTTCGTCACAGGAGTTTTGTGTTGGGGATAGGTGTGATGGGCTGTATACGTCCAGGCATATATCCAGTGTTTTTTTTTTCTTCTTTTTCTCTCTTTTTTCTCTCTTTTTTCTCTCTTTTTTCTCGTTTTTTTCAGGGCCATGCTAATCTTATCTGTAGCGCTCCTTTTTTTTTTTTTTTTTTTTTTTTTTTTGGGTTGGAAAGTTTTAATATATTGCTTAAAATCATTCGGATATTGTAATGATGGTTGTAAGCGAAACTGGCTGATGCTGTCGGGATAACTCGGGGTTAAATTGTGAGATCCCCGGCCTCAGTTTTTAATTTTGGAATGGAAAAAAGAATAATCATGGGGACGAGGCCGGGGACCTCACAATTCAACCCAGAGTTATTCTGGCAGCCTCAGCCAGCTTACCAAAAGTCTCAAAAATTTGAGGCATTTGGTTCGACTTTTTTGAGGCATTTGGTCCCCGTGTGGTCACACGGGCGGACCTCGTCCAGAAAGGACGAAGTAGCGACCCTGACACTTTGCATTCAGGGCAAGTGCGGCTGGTCACATGGGGGAGGATCAGAGGAAAAGATGGATTGTTACAATTTAGGCCCAAATGAAAAGATGGATTGTTAAACCAGCAGTACCTACCCGTGATCAAGGCCCGTCCCTGCAACTT